GTGAGTGTTAGCAATTGTAGAAGACTATATGATAGTTGAGTATGTGGACTTGCTGAAAAGCTCTATTCTTGACTCTTTCTGATGTTATGATAAATTGCAATTGCTTCAATGACTGAGATTATAGTTTGTTAGTTCTCAATGAAGTTTCTGAACCATACTTGACATTGTGAATAGATTGTTACTTGATCATGAAAAGTTTTATGAGATAAGCTACTATTATGACACATATTGATGCTAGAAAAGGTGATTGAAATTATCATTGATCAAACTTGTGCACCTGCTAGCATTCACACTTCATCAATCAGAGTCATGAAGTATTTCTTTCCACCTTTAGTCAACACACCATTCATCTCACAGAGATCTGAATGTATGAGCTCTAATGGTGCCAGGTGTCTCTCCTTCGCAAGCTTGTGAGGCTTACGAGGTTGATTAGCTTGCACATACGCATGGCACTTAGAGCCTTTGGCTAAAGTGAAACTTGGGATTAAGTCCATCTTAGCTAGCCGCGTCATACAACCGAAATTTATGTGACAAAGACGTGAATGCCAAACCTCAGATTCGTTCACATTAGAATGAATTTGGTTCACGACTTTATTGCAGAAATCCTCCAGGGAAAGGTGGAACAAACCACCACAATCATATCCTTTTCCAACAAATAGTCCATACCGAGATACGACCACTTTGTTAGACTCAAATACTAACTTAAACCCTTCTTTACATAGAAGGGAGCCACTAACGAGATTCTTCTTGATGGCAGGGACATGCTGCACGTTCTTCAGTTACACGATCTTTCCCAAAGTAAACTTAAAATCTACCGTGCCAACACCATGAACAGAAGCATGTGAGCTATTCCCCATCAGGACGGAATAATTTCGTGCGACCTGGTAAGAAGAAAACAAAGACACATCAACACACACATGAATATTGGCCCCAGTGTCAATGGTGGACTGACAGACTGAAAGTATGGTAAACAGATTACCATACCCAGATGCCGCATCATTGTTGCTCAGAGTGACATTGACAAACTTAGAGTGATGTCCTGACTTCTTGTACTTGTTTGCCCAGTGTTCCTCTGAACCACAAGTAAAGCAACCATCTCTCTTTTTGTCTTTCTTCTTACCCTTCTTCTTAAAGGTAGTATTCTGCTGGACAGAGTTCTTTCCCTTGAACTTGTGGAAGTTCTTCTACACCACATTGGCACTAGAAGAACCCTCTGCCCCTTTCACGTGTGGGTCCTTTGCTCTCGAGTTCTGCTCAACACTGAGATGACCGATGACATCCTTAACGGGGAATTCACGTCTCAAGTGCTTGAGAGAAGTAGCAAAGTTCCTCCATCCAGGAGGGAGTTTTGCAATAATGCAACCCGTGACAAATTTGTCCGGTAACTCATACTTCAGGAGCTCCAGCTCCTTAGCGATGCACTGTATCTCATGAGCCCGGTCCAATACAGAACGGTTATCAACCATCCTGTAATCATGAAACTGCTCCATGGCATACAGTTCGCTCCCAGCATCGGTTGCACCGAACTTAGCTTCGAGCGCATCCCACAAGTTTTTGGCAATACGTATATGGAGATATGCGTCAACCAACTTGTCTCAGATCACAGTAAGAACGGCTCCCACAAAGATGGTGGTTGCCTCCCTAAACGCCTTTTCCTGTTCAGGAACAATCGTTTCTATGGGAGACACAACACCAACCCAAAACACGTTCATTGCTGTGAGCCACAAGGTGGTCCTTGTCTGCCAACGCTTAAAATGCGTCCCAGTAAACTTTTCCGGTTTTAGTGTCGCAACAAAGCCTTGAATCAAAAAGTGCCTAGAATAAGGTTTTTGGATTGTTGGAAATATTAGCATCTAATTAGACTAATCCACGAGTAAACAGTAAACATGAAAAATACAGTATGCAACTCATACCGATTCCTAAGCATACTAGCACGCACAGAACATAGAAGCAAACCATCTATGAGCAGCACATATACGGCTAGCACAAGCACGAGTAAATGAGGGATGAACAGATCATACCCTCCGGTTGGCCATGCCAATGCGGCGGCGGCAGCAGTAGCCTCGACTTCGTTCGTGGCCTTCTTCTTAGCGGCGGCGTTGTCGGCCATGGTGTTGATGCAGGGGAAATAGTGGAAGCAGAGGCTGACGGAGCTGGGGACGGATCGGGAGCAGTCGCGCCGAGACGCTCCCCAAAAACCTTATTGCCGTTCTCCCGAGCAGGATCTCGAACGGCAGGATTCCGGAGGCACCTGCTCTCCCGACCAATCATGCACGCGCTCGTCGGGATGGGGTCGCCGGAGGGAACACAGAGCAAGGAACAGTAGATGACGGCTAGGTTACGCGAGAGGGAGTGAGTGAACCTGGTTAGGATGGGGTCGCCGGAGGCAGCACAGAGCAAGGAATAGTAGATGACGGCTAGGTTACGCGAGAGGGAGTGAGTGAACCGAACCAGGTAACTCCACTAGGCAGAGCCTTCTTATATAGGCCGTCGGGTAGGCCGTCATGGGCCTGGGCGGAAGCCCACTACCGAGTCGATACGCTCCCGGCAAGGCCTATATAAGAAGGCTCTTGTCTGCAAGGGCCGCTGTATCTACTTCGTTGTACTATCATCATGCGCGACTTGGTCGATCTAGAACAACCAATTTCAGATGAAGAACTGAAAAATTGCACATCGTCGTTAACCTATGCCGCCACCCAAGACTACAGTAAATATGTACAACGCCATTTTACATTAGGAGTAGTTGTAAACGAAGAGGGGTACGAGCCGTAGACATCAATCCACGGACCAAGCGAAAAGGGTACCAGCTAGTAGACGTGGACGGAGAATTGAAGGCCATGGCGATGGCGGTACCACCAGCACAGCACAGTAGTTCCAACAGGCCAACAGCCAGGGCCACCACCAACCGATCTGTCCGACAGGATCAACATCTGACCTCCGCCCCACCGGTCGATGACGAACAGCAGGCATGCAACAGGTCCTATCTGTGGCAAGGACGGCGAGCAGCGCTGGCCTGTCCGGCGCCGGCAGCGACGTGCGTGCGTGGCCGCCGCGAAAACGACCCCGCGCTGGACGCCATCATCAACTAACTAACTGTAAAGGCGCGGCGCTCATCCTGAGGACGGGGGAAGGCCCGCCCCCATTCAACTCAGACGCTGATTGAATGAACATGCGGGATCATCGGCGTCATTCCAACTTGGAACAGGCAGCTAGCTGCTGCCTTCAAGTGATTGATTCCATCTGGACTGGACGTGACGTGCCCACGTCCCAGCTTGTACAGGGATATCAGATCGGATCAGATCAGTCATTGCTTCATCTGCTCATACATGCTAGTAGTATCTCCCTCCGCTCTATTAATTTGCCTCTTCATTTAAGCCTCGTGTAGCATGGGAGTAGGACTGGACTTAGAACTCGGAGCTCGTGAGCTAAATGAGTAGCTTGTGACTCGGCTTGGATCAACTTAAACTCGATGATTAACAAGTCGAGCTGAGCTTTTTGAAGAAAAGGCGATAGCCCGACTTTATAAATAAAGCCATACTACATGGCAAAGGGAGCCATACACGTCATTCAAGAGTATCAAGTGTAAGCAAAATATAAAGTTCAACACAACCAACAAAGACGAGAACAACACGCAGGCCCCAACTATATTAGGGGACACCAAAGAAGATCTCTAATCCGGCGCCAAAGACAAGGAGGCAGATAAGTTAATCTTGGGAATCAAGTTGTCCATGTCGTCCGCGACAGACGCCTTAGCAAACGGACCGCCACTATGTAAGAGAGAGATCGGTTTAAACAAGCAATCAGATGGGTTAGCAGGGAACATATGTTCAATGGTAAATTTATCCCTAGTAGTTCAAAGGGACCAACCCAGTAAAAGCAACCTAGAGAATACGCTTAGGATGAGCCGACAGTGGAGCGAGGAGACCACAAAGGGAAAAATTTCTTAGAGTCGCCAGTAACATTGAGCCAATCAGGCACACAACTTCACATGAACTTGGCAAGGATGCAATTAAAGAAGATATGCTCCACATTGTCCTTTGCACACAAAATTAGAAGAGATGACCTTTTGGTGGGGTTTTGTCAAGAAGTTGCCACATGCCAGTAGTCAACCTTCCATCCGTGCAAGTGAAAACTGATGCCGCGTGGATGACACATTTAGCAAACTTGACACCCTCGAATAGTTTTTATATGTTTTATGTCGATACTTAACCTAGTTCGATGTCATGTAATAGGCAATGGGCGGTTCAATTATGCTATGTACGAGGTTAATGTGGTAAATAAATTGAATTATCAAATGAGATAGTTTAAATGCGCATTTGAAATCAGCTTGTGTTCAAACGGTTTTAGGAGATTTGCTAGTTTGTGTTCAAAAGGTTTTGGATTTTTAGGACAGGAGATCTGCTAGATCTTTTAAAAATTGTAAGAGAAATAGGGTAAGGGATACATTTTGGATTTTTAAGACCGGGGATGCTAGAGTTGCTCTAAGAATTTTATTCAGAGAGTATATAACAATCAATGCCAGAGATGGAAAACCAACCAAACAAGCAAGTGTGTAGGTGGAAATTGTCTGCCAAGAGTGCATTATGAATGATGATGGACCACAAGAGATCAGAAACGATCGCGGTGCATCAGTCAGGACATTTCCTGGACCCTAGGGTTCTCAGTAACTTGTTCGTGGAAAGGGGCGGCGAGAACCGCGGAAACATCGAAATACAAAGATTTAGCGACAAGAGGAATTTGAGTAACAGTCAAATTTACAGCGCGCCACTTCAACAAAATACCAACGCTTTTTTGTACATCTCGCTGGAAGCAGCTACAGTGACCGCACCTTGCCCTTGTAGAACATTTATATGGGCAAAACCAGTGTCACAGACTTACAGTCGATTGCCATTACCGAACCAAGACCGAAAAGCCTCCAGGCGTACGGCGTGCAGCAGAAAAAACCAATATACGAGAAGCAGCTACAGTCTACAGAGGCTTGGTAACAGGCTGAGTGACAGCTATGATCCGGCAGGCGGCTTGTTGCTCGAGAGCCTGCGCTTGTATCGCTTGAGCACAGAAGCAAGGTTTTCCTTCCCTTTAGGCCATGTTCGGTTACACCTCTTCTCAAGAGGATTGGAGGGGATTTGGGTGGATTTTAACTTGTAGGGGATTATATCCACCTCAATCCCTGCCAAATCCCTTCTAAATCCCTGTCAACCGAACAAGTCATTAGGGAAGGCAACATCTCCCGCCACCGTGCCGCTTCGACCCCTCCGGCCAGAAACTGCTTGCTCAACATCTTTGATCAACAGCAAGATGTCAGCTGCGGCGGTGAAGTTACTGGACATGGGCTTGCCGACTAGACGTGCTTTCTCGAGGCATGGGCACCCGGTGACGGGTTTCCGAGGCTTGCAAAATGCAGGATCAAGGATCCCCTACATCAAATGAAGTAAGCAAGATGTCATAAAATCTGGATGCCAAAATGTGCAAAGTAGGTATAAGAATAGCTTGGCATCTGTAAATTTCATCTTAGAAACATCAACTGCCAAATAGAACTGGCTCAGATGTATCGATGATTTTTTGTTGTTGGGAGAAGCATTCTTTTTCTACTGAAAACCTCACATTTGCAGGGGAATACACGATGAGAATGACATGACACTGATATATGCTCAACAGTACGTTCCAACCAACCATGTTAAGTTCAATTATGTCATGTAACAGTTCCAGCACCCATGGTTAATTAGTTGAAATTCTTATGCTCAAGTAATTGATACGCGCTCAAATTAATTGGACTGTAGGTCTGTAGCATAGTTTACTGGAAACTGGAACTTCATTTTACATGTCAATATGTTAAAAAGAATCTTTGCTACATGGATTTGCAAACAATGCCTTGACTCAATTCTCAAGGTGCCTTTTTTTTAGCAGTATAAGGGTGTGTGTTGTAGTTTACTGCAAGCCTACCAAATAACAAGGCAAAAGGATTACCTGAAGACGGTTGAGAACATAAGTATACTTGCCCCAAAGTTCTGGCCTACTTTCCGCAAGCGACAGGTCTAGCACCCGACGGATACACCAGACACCAAAGCTAACAACCAGGGAAGCCTGCCAAACACATTCAACACCACAACCGAGCCGTCCGTGCGTGCAATTAGCGTCCATGCCATCAGCAGTTTCTTGTGAAACTCTCTCAGCTGCGGCAACTTGGTCAATTAGATTTTCATCACAGCCACCATTCTGCCTAAAAAGCCATCTCGACCCTTCCAGCTTTAAGAGCTTCATGATGCAAAATCTGAGAGACTGGAGAAGCTTTGCTTCAGATTCCTTGTATGAGAAATCATCCTTGGTGCCATTTGATCTCCGCTCGGTGTTCACCGGGCTCCTATTATTCAACTCTGCGCTCGGCACGCCAAAGAGCTGTTCGAATGGTTGCCGGGACCAAAGTGATGCTGGTTTGGTGTTCATACTCGACTGCACAGAGCTCTGGGACATGTTCGCTGTGCCCACATTATGTGATCTTTCACATGCCAGCCTACTAAGATATGGCTGATTTCCAGCAGCGCTGCCCATATTTGCTTTGTTCAACAATGAATTCCTGCTTGCAGCAATTACAGCAGATACATCGGGTGAGCTGTGGTACTTCTTTGGGTAAGCAGATGAGCCACCACTTTCACCCCCAAGAATGGTAGTAGGATCATAATAGGATCTTCCTACCATCATTGTACTTAAGCCGCTCATTGTCGGGTTCTGCAAAGTGGTAGAACCAAATGAACCAAGCACGTTCGGGCTATAAGCACGAATAGCAGAGCCAGCATAGTTGGAACCATCAGATTCAGAAGATATAGGAAGTCGCCGTGCGTCCAGTGGAATGCTGGAACGTGAATGCCGACTTGCATCTATCCCTTTTAGATAGTTTGCTAGCTGATACCCACCATGAATGGTGGCAGGCTGACAGAACTGGTTATCACAGTAAGGTGCCCCATCATAATTCGTGATTTCTTTTGCATTTTGGTCAAGAAAGGCACTGCTTGAACTCGGGGTGTTTGTTTTTGGTAAATGCATGCTCTGTGACCCGGCTGATGACCCGATGGCACCCATCTGAAGCCCAAAAGACAGGTCTGGATTAGAGATTTCCCTATTGCAGGACACTGGGTCCCATGAGATGCCTGATCCAGGCACTGCATCTCTCATTAAGGGGTTCTTGGAAGCTCGAGTGTTCTGGTTATCCATTCTCCCAGCTGAACCTTCTCTTATCAAGTCCAGTCCAAGCAAAAGGTGGATCCTTTCAGCATCACCTTCTTGTGTCGGCTTGCCATGATAATCAAAAAAACGCCCCCAGAACTCATCGAGAATTGCTGCTAACTGTCTCCTTGCAGCACGGCCCAAACCAGGCTGCCTTGAGAGGCCACCACTGCCACTAACAGCATCAGTGTCTTTATATCTGCTCATAGCAAGGGGTGGTGGATCACCGGAAGATAAAGAGGGTGCTTTGCCTCCAGTGGACTTATTACTGGAGCTCACATTATGTGAAGTCTCATTGTCCTTGTCTGTGCAAACATCTGCTTCTACTTGAACATCTTTCTCAGCTGTGCTCTTCATTTGGTTATTCTCTGCTGAACTCTGTCCTACTGCGGTGGCAGTAGAGACATTTGGCGTTGAACCTGTAAAGTCAGCCCCAACAACTGATTTTGACTCCTCGATGTTGCTTGACATTCCGGGGGCAGCCTCAGGAATGGTCGCCATATGTTGAGCCCCGTTATCGGATTCTGCAGTGGTTTCAGAACCGTCAGTATGCTCCTCCAAAGCTGATTTCTGATGACTTCTCAATGAATCCCTTGGAACAGCATCAATAGAATACCTTTGAATTTCTTCGTGTGCAATATATTCCGGATAAGTATCTACTCTGTGATGAGTAGTGTCCAGTGCTTCCTTCGGAGAGTGCACATGCCACTCCTGAGTTTCAGCTTCACTGCTGGCTGATTTTATTGGAGTCACAGCCAGGAAAAGTGTAAAAGCAATAGATGCACAAGACATTATAATAAGTACAGTATGGTGAATTATGACAGGGCTTTCAGTGTTCCCTTTCAGGTTGTTTGTCCAGCTGCTGTCACCGAACAGGATTTCCGCCGCGAAAATTTTGTAAACAACATAAGAAGAAACGCAAGGAAGGCTAGTATCTCAACATATAAAGATATCCTGTAGTTGCCCATTATTGACCTTGATGAGGCGATACGGAAAACAGGAATGGTAGAGGAGGGCAGGGTCATGCCCTGGATTACCGGACACAGAATGAGTACCTGATATATCCCTTCAGAGCCTGCTACTTTTGCACAATACATAGTAGGAATCATGGCAAGAACCTTGAGTAGCACATGATGTGCAAAAAGAGACAGGTTTGCACCAAAGAAATTCTCCATAACTGCATGACTGGCGATGACAGCTGTCAACGAAATAATGTGGCTCGAAAAGAGAAGAACCGCTAGTAACACGAGTGGAGCCATGGGATTTGTAAATATCTGCAGAAGACAAGAACCCAGAGAAACTCAGGAAGAAACTTCAACGTACACTTAGAACTTAATTTTAATATTTGGATTTATACTTTAGAAACTGGAATCACAAACCTGGTTCATCAGATCTACAGCATCGTGAAAGGAGTGGATCACATTGTGACTAGATTCCGATGCTGCTGAGCTCAGCAGAACATAGTTCACAAGAAAAACTCCAGTAGAAATGAATAATATAGAAAAAAGGTGGTCATGAAACAGGGTACGGAGGGTAAGAACATGAGACCTCCTCTGAACCTGCATGTAGGATATCTGAATTAACTTGAAATGATAACTCAAATAAGCAGGAAAGAATAGTAAAATGAACCTGTTTGTAAATAACTGTAGAATCAGGGAGTACAAAGTGCATTGCCATGTAATACCTGATGTGTTGTATAATATGTCTGAACCATCATAATCAAATTTTAACAGTTTTCCAGACTTTCTAATAGTTGAAGAGTGTGGATTTAGCAAAAAAGTACAGTGCCTGAGAACCCTGGAAACATTAATACTTCAATTGGAGGACCACCTCTTCATGTGAAGATTGGTTGGTTCATCTTGTGATCAACTGATCATCCGATAAATTTTTGGGGATGACTTCATCCTCATTTTTGTTAGTTTGTGCTTACGAGGGATGAAAAATGATGGATCTTCCACTCACCCCATCCTTGAACCAAATACCCCATAATTGATTCGATGATCATAGAAGTATAGTTGAAGCACTATTCCCTATGGTATAGATGATAATTCTGTCAAGTATAATGACAGGAAACAAATCAAACGCTATGCGGAAGCTACTTGAGATATGACACCAAGCACAAGCATAAAGCCCAAAGCCCAACTATTTAGTCTTTTTTGGGGGTAATTGCCCCTATTGGGGATGAACACTTCTTACTAAGTATTCAGCACCGCGTCGATGGCATAATCTGTATCTGAAACTATGAAATATGACACACAAACCATGCAACCAAACTGCTCCAGATATCAACACAAGGTGCAACATAAAACCACACAACCCATAATGGAAGACAGTTTGACGCAGCTACTGCACCTTCAAATGTAAATCCAAATATGTGGACAATTTAAACTATGTATGAGCAAGAGGCATTGGAAAATACCTGAACAACTGATGAATGAACATAAAAATTGTGCGATATTACGTTTGCACCCATAAGTGCCATCAGTGAGTAAGCACTTTCACCACTCAACTTGGGGAACATCACATTCACATGGAGAGGTATCTCTGGTTGACTGATTAACAAGCCAAGCACAAAACAGAGAATCGTAAAGCCCGCTATGCAGGCATTTAACGTTCCAGACATCCTCTTGTCCTAGAATGGTCAGAAATAATATGTCAAAAGCACATAGGGCACAGACGAGTCAGATAACGCTATCGAGAATTACTAGTTCCAGGGTCAGTAATAAACTTACCCGAGAGGATAAAAGAAATGGCAGCAGATTGATTACAACGCATGCAAAAATAATACCCGTGATGAGATCATCGTGATCAAATACAAGGTTGAATCCAACTGCTATGCCTGAAATCTGAAAGAGACAAAATATTAAGTGTTCAGAAAAGTCAGGACTTACGCACATTCTCACAAGGTAATGGACTAGTTATTATACAAGTCAGTACACATAGCATGGCAAATACAAAAAATTCTAGAATGAAGCTTTGACAAACAAGAAGATTTGCCTCAAATTTGTAGATATACCATGGTTAGTTCTGAAGTAAGCAAAGACAATCCTGCCTGGAGACCAAGGCCGCCACATATAAACCGACTGTACTCCTGGCCGGAAACCTTGAAATCCATATAAAAGCATTACAAGTAAGAACCAAGAACTGTATGGTTCAGGGGGATCGGGCACCTGAGCGAGATTCTTGTCGGTGACCATGCCGATGCAGGTGGACATATACTGATACAGAACCGAGGAGAAGTTGAAAAAGAGCACCAGCAGCACGAGGTCGTACCCGAACCGAGTCCCGGCGTCGACCGTCGCCACCCACTTGCCAAGATCAATATACCCGACGGAGATGAGCAGCGCCGGCCCAAGCGTCCGGGAAAGGTGATGATGGCCGTCTCCTGAAGCCAGGGACTGTATGCCGTGCACGGCTTCCATGGAATATCACCAAGAATCACGCCCAGCTGTTTATCCGATTCACGTCCTCAGAATTCAGAGAACACAACACTCCTTGTGGTCCAAACAGTCCAGTCAAACTACCTGCACAAAGCTTGCGAGGCAGCGGCACCAGAGGCGGGCATCACCTTGAACTGAACCAACAACCAACCTGGTTGGAAAAAATGAACAGAGTGCTCCACTGCGCCAGCAAACAGATTCACAGAGAGCTGGAAGGATGGGAGCATCCATTTCCACACAGAAACATCTGAATCAGACTTACCACGGCAATCAAAACAAAGACGAGAACGGAAGGAAATCTTAGGACAATGCGAGGTGGTTAGTGGTCGTCACCAGCTCTGAAGCAGCAGTCGACCTGGCGTGCTCCGCGGAGAGAAGGTTCGAGGGCGATGGCGTGGCGTGGCGTGGGAGTCGGAGCCGAGATGAGACGAGCGGGGAAGCCGGGGCGGAAGAAGTAGGCAATGCGGTGATGGGTGGCCTCGCCGCCGCCCCCGGGAAGGGTGGGGGTAAAGTAGGGAAAAAACAGAGGAAGAGGATAAGGGCGGAGGCTGCACGTTCAGCGGCGAGGGGTGTTTCCGGTATTCTGCGTGCGGATGGGGACGAAGTCTGTGGGGCCGTTTCTACTGCGTCGTCCTAGGCAAGGCGACAACTTGGAATGATCATGGGAGTTCGATGGGTGTACGTGGCAGCTCCAGGTCGACAGAGTTTGAGGGTAGCTTGTTTTTAACTTTTCTATGAGTAAAAAAAAATTGCACTCTGGTCACTAGACTTGTTCATCAAAATCACTTTGGTCATTGTATTTAGAGATTAATTTGTCACGGTAACCGACTCCAAGCGATTTTCGTACCTGTCCTATACGAATTTTGCCATCTCTTGCTCTCGTGACCCCGCCCACGGAAGAATATCGGGTGATACCATCATTGTGCCCCATGATACCCGTTTGAAAATTTTAATTTAAGAAGTGTCCTAATAACAAAAACAAAGGCCGGTTCCAGCAAACTCACCACCATGGTTGTAGCACCCCGCGGACATGGTCTCTATCGCCGGCATGGTGACCCACCAGGTTGAAGCTCGCCATTGTGTCGCTTGCAGCTCGCTGGACAAAGGTTGTAGCACTGCTCGTGCCGGTTGCAGCTTGCCATTGTGAGGTTGTCCGTGTATGTCGCAGCTTGCCGGCCAGCGGTTGTACCTTGCCGGCGTGACGATTGTAGCTCGCCGAGCCATCAGATGTAGCGCCCGTACGTGCTGGGTGCAGCTTTTCAGCGTGAGGTTGTAGCACCTGCACCATTGCTGGGTTGTAGCTCGCTGGTCCCCGGATGTAGCACCCGCCTGTGCCGGTTGGCGTGAGGTTGTAGCAACCGCCCCTGCCGGTTGTAGCATCGTCGTCGGGAAGACCCAGCATCCCAGCGGCCGCTCCCAGTATTCACGCCCGCGGGGTCGTCGCATCCAGGGACAACGCTTCCAGCATCAATGTCGGCGGGTCGCAGCATACCGGCCCGACAACCCCTCGGGTCTCCGTACCGGCTTGCGGCGGGAGGTAGCTGTGGCCGAGCGCGTGCAGCAGTAGCGCCGCAACCTTGCTCGCTTGACGGGATGGTGGGCGAGGGAATAAGGCAGAGGTGCGAGTGGAGAAGACGAGTAGGAGAAGAAAAACCCATCGAATAGATAAGGTTGGGTCAAGAGCGGTGTGTGGGCCCAAAAAAAAGGTAGATCTGACGCGTTCAATCCATATCGACCGTGAGTCCGGCTGAAACTTCGGCCGGTCTGCCGGCAGGGAACGTTTCCCTTGTTATTAGTTGCGCCATGTGGCAGACAGTGTTTTAAATTCTATATACTTTGAACTAATAAAATCCACTGTATCCTTTGCCAAAAGAAAAAAAGAGAGAAGATAACACAAGGCGTGGAGGAATTCTGCGGTGGGTGCAACGCCGGGCTGCTGTGGTGCGGTCCGCGAGCTGTGCACGCACCGCTATGGAGCACCAACCACATCTCTCCATTTCCCCTGCCTCGCCTTCTTCCCCCGTCCGCACACGCCGCCTCACCTCCTTCCCCCATCCATCCACCCGCGCGATCCTCCTCCCGATCGCCGCCATGAGCAGCCGCGCCGGAGACCGCGCCCTCCCCGCCTCCTCCCCCACCGAACCCGATCCGGAGGCGCCGTCCGCGGTGAGCGGCGGCGACTTCCCGGCCGACCTCCTGCGGGCGGTCCTGCACCGGCTCCCGCCCGCGGACGTCGCGCGGGCGGCCTGCGTCTGCCGCCTCTGGCGCGCGGTCGCCTCCGACCGCGCCGTGCTCGAGGCCGCCTTCCGCGCGCCCTGGGGGGTGCGCCGCGTCCTCGGCGACCCGGCCACCAGGGCCTTCTGGCGCGCCGCCTCCCTCGCCCGCTTCGCGCTCTCGCACGCCGTCCGTCGCGGGGACACCGTCCCCGGCGTCGCGCTCAAGTACTCCGTCCAGGTATCATATCTATCTCTCTATCTGTCCATCCTCCCCGTCTGAAGCTTATTCTTCAGGTATATTGATGTTAGCTGAATCCTACTTTGTGCTGCCTTGCTGCCTGACGAGGCAACACCAGCCCATGCTGAAATTGGCAGACTCCGTAGCAGTATCAAAGCCCATAGTACTCACAGGATGGAGTTCTTATCACAGGATGGAGTTCCTGCAACTTGAACTAGAACTATGGAGGTCATAATTGATTGTCTAACAGATAGCGTAATGTAAAATAAGCAAAAGTTGCAAGTCACTACAATAATTTCTGGTCATGGAAAACAATCAACGTTTTCACTGTCGCAGAACTCACCGCCGTTGTTGTTGGCATAGCTCATCACGTTTTGATCGTTGGCTATCTGATAATGCTCATGATACAACGTTTGATGATGGATGCACTGCTTCCATAATTCTGTCAGTACTCGTTGCTCGGTTGTATCAATTAAAATGTTGAATGTTGTACTGTAATTAATAGTGAGGCTGTAGTGAATTACTCTACTTTGTTAGGTCTTAAATTAATTGAGTTAGCTCTCAAGGTTTGGTTTCCATAACGTCTCAACAATTGATAGTAAGGATGTAGAATGCCCATGCACCTTGAGCTGATAACCCTTTTTATGTTCACTGTTGCTGATATAGAGCTAATCCGAACATTGACCACACGCATGTTCAAACTTGTTGGATTTCTGTTATTTACAAAGCTGTCAACGCAACTTAAATTTGTAACAGTGAACATTTGTGAATGCCTGAATGCTGCTAATTTATATCATTCCATTGTTTCCAAAAGATATACAGCTGTACTGTCCATGTGTGAGCAAACCTTCTCTATTCTTCATCTAACCTTATTTGATATTCTGTGGATTTCAAGCAGGTGACCGATATCAAACGGTTCAACAATATGATGAGTGACCATGGTATCTACTCAAGGGAGAGGCTTCTTATACCAATCAGTAATCCAGAAATCTTGTTGGGTAGCACATGCTACATCGAGATGGATCACAACTCAAAGAGAGAGGTCGCGGTCTTTTATCCGGAGGGCCACCCGAATGGAAACGCGGAATCCATGGCAAACGCTGCAGCTGCAAAAAGGCAAAGCAAACGGATTCTCGAGTCGGTGAGGCGAAGCTTGCATGTTGATGACGGAACTGCCGAGTACTACCTGTCCGTCACAGGTGGCGATCCGAGAGCTGCTATGATGGAGTTCTCGGAGGACCTTAGGTGGGAGCAGCGACAAGCAGGCCAATAGATGCAGGTCAGTGGGAAGTATATGCAGGGATATTGGTGTGTAGGTGAGTATACATATACATATACATATATCATTTTGATGATTTCTACCTACTTGGCTGCTTGAACCATTATTGGTTTGCCCTCTCCTATGTGTAATATAGTAATGTGGAACTGTGGACCTCTGTAAGGTTAACTTAAAATGGGATAATTGTAGCAAGCACTGTATAGCATTTGCACTTGAAAATGAACATTCATCAGCTCGAATCGTTCTTGTCGCTCATTTTGTGACCAAAGTTTTACTTCACTCGAAACTGTAACTTGCACCTACAATCTCCAGCTTTTTAAATGGGTGAAGCAGTGAAGGACAACTTGTTGTATTCCTGTAAAATTGGAAGAAGGAAAACTCCTATACTGGACCCTTTTCCGTACAACGAGATAATGCGTACTACTCCCTCCATTCCAAAATATAGTGTGCCCGCGCTTTACTTTAACCAACGAGACCAACTGCGGCGGGAGAAAAAAATTATATAATTGAAAATTTTCTTTTTGAATATGAATTCACTGGTATAACTTTTGCTCCCGTCGCAGCAGTCGGTCTCATTGGTTAAATTTATGGTTATAGTTGAAGCACGGGAATAGAGGAAGCACTATATATTGGAACGGAGTGAGTATATGATTAATTAGGGACGGATGGCAAAAGCAAAGCCTCTATTCGAGTACATGCAATTTACTTTTCTTGATCGGTCGAGATGATAGCGAGTAAGCCAGCTGATAGGTCGAGCGTGTCCTCATAGAAATAGAAACAGGGTATGCGCATGTGTGTGAGCGTGTCCGATTGGTCGCATACGGCGGTTAGAAACAGCACAATACATTGTTTCAGCCCCATGCATGCACAGCTCGCGAACTATTCACACGGCCGACGCGTCGCCGCTCGCTCTCGGTCCGCATGCATGTATGTCGCGTCCCACCGCTGGCGGACGGACGCGCTACGTTTGACCGCCAAATGCACCGGAGACCGGACGCAGAAAATATATCCTCGTCGCAGCGACGCGATGCCCCGGCCTTGGAGCTGGAGGTCGAGCACGGCATGCGAAACACAAGCCGGGCGCGTCGCCGTGTGGCGCTGCGGATAGTCCGATCGAGCCAGCCGCTACGTGCCGAAAACGACGGGCCGATGGATCCATCGCAACAAGCGCGGGCGGGCACGGAAATCTCCCACGCCATCCACGTAGGAGTAACGACATGGTTTTCAATAATGTTTGTTGGCCTGGTAT